TTGTAGTAAGTTCTGAAACTGGGAAGTGTGAGTCCTCTGACTTTATTCTTTTTCAGATTGTTTTGGTTATTCTGGGTCACTAGAGTTTCAAATGAATTTTAGGATGTTTTAGGATGTATTTCATTTGTGCAAAAAAAAAAAAAAAAAAAAACCCATTGGGATTTTTGATAGGGACTGCACTTAATCTGTACATTGCTTTGGGTAGAACTGTTACCAAACAGTAATTGTTCTAATCCATGAACTTGGGTGTCTTTCCATATATTTAGATCTTTAATTTCTTTCAGCAATATGTGTAGTTTCAGTGTACAAGTCTCACTCCTCCTTGGTTAAATTAATTCCTAAGTGTTTTAATCTTTTTGATGCTACTGTAAATGGAATTGTTTTCTTATTTTCCTTCTTTAATTATTCATTATTAGTATAAACAAATGCAACTGATTTTTGTGTTGATTTTCATATCCTGTAACTCAGCTGAATTCATTTATTGGCTCTAACAGTTTTTTTTTTCTTTTTTTAAGATATGCATTCTCAAGGTTTTCTAGATATAAGATTATATCATCTGCAAATATAGGGATAGCTTTACTTCATTTCTATACTGGGTTGGATAATTTTGGGGTTAGTCCCGCAAAATTCATGTTCTTTTCAGAACCTCAGGATGTGACTGTAATTGGAAACAGGCGAGGATGCTACGGTGAGGTCGTACTAGAGTAAGATGGGCCTTCAATCTAATATGACTGGTACTCTTATAGGAAAGAGGAGAAGAGACTCAGAGACAGACACACACAGGAAGAACACCACGTGATGACAGAGCTTGATGCAGCGACAAACCAAGGAACAATCAGGAGAACAATCGGGATTTCCGGCCATCACCAGACGCTGGGAAAAAGCAAGGAAGAATTCCACTCAGAGTCTCAGGGGAGCATGATCCTGCTGACACTTTGATTTTAGACTTCCAGACTCCAGAACTATGAGAGGAAAAATATCTGTTGTTTTCAGCCTCCAAGTTTGTGGTACTACGTTATAGCGGGACTAGGAAATTATCATATGTTCTAATTTGGATACCTTCTTTCTTTTTCTTGCCTAACTGCTCTGGCTAGAATTAACGTCAACCTTCTCAAAGTCTTCCAGCAAGCTGAAGGAGAGGGAATACTCGTGAATGTACACTGCAAGGCCAGCATTAGCCTGATACCGAGACAGACAGGAAAAGAAAACTATAGGCCAACAGCCTTGATGAATGTTGATGCAAAAGTCCTAAAGGAAATACGAGGACACTGCCTTCAGCACTATGTTGAAAGGATTATATACTGTGACCAAGTAGAATTTATGCTAGGAATGCAAAGTTAAACATAGAAAAATCAGTCATTATATCACATTAATAGAAGGAAGCAAAACATCATCTCAATTAATGTGGAAAAAGCACTGGACAAAATTCAACATCCTTTCATGCTAAAACACTCAACAAATTAGGAATAGAACTTCTTCAACATGCTACAAGCCATCTATGAAAACACACAGCTAACATCATACCCAAGGGTGAAAGACTGGAAACTTCCTAAGTTTCAGGAAGAAGACAAGGATGTCTGCTTTTGTGACTTCTATTCAACACAGTACAGTTTCTACTTGTTTTTTGGTGTTTCTGTGAAGGGACAGGAGATTAGAGCTGCCTACTCTGTTATTTTGCTACCATACTCCCAAACTCTAGAACTTTTTACTATCATACATAAAACAGTATTTATTAAATTCACATATAGTACTGGAAAATAAAATTAATAGCTGATGCTGAGTGCTCACTGGTATCAGGTTCCGTAGTGAACTTTATATACCTAATCTAAAACCTTCACAAGAATGCTATGAGGCAGGTATTACTCTTATCCTCATTTCATGGTGACTTAGAAAGGATAAATAACTTGCCCAAACTAACACACAGCAACTAAGGTAGGTTGATTAGATAAATTCGTGTATTTTCTATGCTACCCTTGTAACAACAGTCGGGGTCCCAGAAAGCCCTTAGAATAAACTGAGGGGAGAATCACTCATAGAGAGATCAATGACAAAGTGCTGGTGGCCTGTAAGAGAACCGTAAGAGATGGTGCAATCACTTGGGGCGAGCAAAACCAGAGCTGCGGCCCTGCCTAGGAGCCACCGTCACTAGGGGCTGAGAAGAGAGAGCTGTGGAGAGAAGTCTTCCTGGAGAGACGTGTGAACCTTCGGTAGAAGGACAAAGCCAGCCTGGGATCATTTTTGAAGGAAGGATCCAGAAGGATAAAGATCCTGACCCACACCCTCCCACGTGTCAGAGATGCTCAGTAGCTGAACAACTGGAAGCCAGAAGACGTGAAAGGGAGTCTCCTGGGGTGACCAGCAGGGTGGAGAAGGTGGAGAACACAGCTGCGACGGGAGACGGGGCAGGTAACAGATACCCAGCACAACATGGACACACAGAATTCCAACAAACACGCTTTAGACTGAGATGCTTCAATTCAGTGTGGGTGTGAAGCAGCGTTAGTAAAGACATACAGATCTGTACAGCAGACGGAAAGATTACATAGGATAAGTAAATAAATACCTAAAGTTCTCTTTAGCCCTAACAGTACACGTTTAAAACCATTTATTTCCCAAAGTGATTCCTGATGCTGGATGGAAGCATCACTGCCTGAGCTATGATTTGCTCATTTTTGTCTACAAGTGTGAGCGAGCCTGGAGCACGTGAGGAAGAAGGCTTGTTTACAACAGCGTCGCATTAATTTATCGCGAATGGGATGCCTCTTTCTCACTGTTAGTATCATGTATTTTTATTACTGCATGTCAACAGTTATGCTTCCAGATTTCCTTCATATTCTGAGCTTTTAAACTTACGGGCACTTTGACAGACTATAGCTTTCCACACAGTGTCTTGCACGTAACAGATAAATGATTTTTAACTGATTGTTCAATGAAACAAGTGAGTTACGTACTGACTTATGTATATGTTTTTACCTTTATGGTAAAATTACACAAACATAAATCTAGAAATTAATATGAGTAGGATATCTGGAAACATTTGGCAAATTTAAGAGGATTAAATCATACAGGGTCTACTTATTGGATTACCATCTTTCAAATAGTGAACACTTTTAAGAAACTAGAGCCCTAAGCTTGTTGGCACTTACAGGATGAAAGTTTAGTTCAGGTCTTTGTTTCATTCACTGAGAATAATTACTATGGTCTGTGAAAAGTCAGAATAAGCACATTTTAAAAAACGGAAGTGCAGCATTCAGACTCAAAGCTTCAAGAGCTCACTGAGTTAAGGGCATCACCTGCAGAGTCACACAGACCCACGATTCAGTCTGGCTAGACACGGGCAGTTACATCAACTCTGAGTCTCTCGTGTGTAACCTAGGACAATGGCTCCCCCACAGAATTGCTATAAAGGATAAAATGAGATAATAATACATATTACAGTGCCTAGCATAATAAAAAACAGTCCATAATTGGGATTATCATCATTGTTGGAATTTCTTAAGGCCATATATTACTTGGAACCTAGAAATGTGTGATTTTCAATAGTATTTTTCCACTATAATTGAAAATTCACATTTTTCACTGAAATGATATGGCGATACCAATTAATGTAGCAGCAGCAGTATAATGGTAGTAGTAAAATAATAATTATTAACAACTAACATCAAAATAATGTCATGGCTTTAGTTATAAAATACTCTCATTTACTTGAAATTACACAGTGAAGTGGTTAATTACTATAATGACTTTCTCTGAAATAGGTGTGGGTTGCTCTCTTAGGTGCCAGATACGGTCATACAAAAAATGGGTGAGCGATTTATGACTTAGAACTGATACTCACTCAGATACTTCTTTACGATGGTCAGTTAAGCTTCACCATCAAGGATGGCCTTCATTTAGTGTCAAAAGTCAGTGCTGCCTTTAGCCTGTACTGCTGAGACGAGGATTGTTGGATACTTACAATGGCCTGTGACCAAAAGTCGTAAAGATCTCATCTGACCACATTCTCAGTGACCACATTTCTGTGTTCTCAGTTTACACAGACATACTGGAAGATACACACTGGAGGAGGGCATTTTCTCTCCATTTCTGATTCCCCTGACGAGGAAATTTTCCTAAGCTTATTCCCAAACTTTCTTTCTGTCCCTCTATACACTCTGCCCTGGGAGGTAGAGGGGTTTATTTGATTGGTAAATCTGGGAGGCTCAGGCCTGTCTGTCTTCCTCTTGGGAAACGCTGCCTGCAGGGAGCAGCCACCGGCCTGTTCTTCCAGGAGCGGATTCTCCCTCCAGTTAGAGAGAGAGCCCGTATGGTTCAATGGTGCCTATACCTAGTATGTTCTCTGCCTGCTTCTGTTTTCTGCCTGCTTCTGTTTTCCTTTCTGTTTTTGGCAAGCCCATTTGACTCTCATACTAAGCTACAGTATCCAACTTGTCTTTTATAAAAAAGAAATAATAAAGGTTATATTTTTGGCCTCCATATGTTACTCTTTGTTCTATTTTTTAATTTGCTTAGAAGACAGCCATGGAAGAGGAAAGCCACTTTACAGTTTCACGTACTCCTCATATCTGACCGTCGACATCCCTCCTGAATTCTCTATCATCAGGAAGCTTTGAGCCTCTAGTAAACAGAACCCCCAAATCCAACAGATCCCACCATGACCAGCTTTCAGAGCCTACACTCGAGCACTACTGCTTTTCTCCCCTGGAGGGAATTCAAACTACTTCTCTGCAATTTCAGAAAGCAGGTTTTTAAAAAAACCCAACAACCCGGGGCTACCATTTGGATTTTTCCAAACTTACCGCTGGTCTTGATGCTGAACACTGAGGGGAAAAAGGCTTGAATTAAAGGCAAACTCCCCTATGTAAGAACACAGACACATCTTCAAAGCTCATTTCATTTGGGACCGACTTTCAAAGAAACACAATTTTAGACAACCTCATACAGAGAGTAGGCAAGGAAACAATTCACCGCACACACACGACGTTTCTGAGGGCACTCACCTCAGCGGTGTGCTTCGCCACGTGCCCCACGATGACAATGACCTTCCCTCTGAAGTTCTGGAGCACGGCAGAGCAAGGGCCCTGGGCAAGCTCCCCTTCTGCGGTGAACGCCGCGCTGAACGGAATGTTGATGCTGCCTGAGATGTGACCCCGAATAAAACTGAGAAGGAAAGTTTAAGGAAAACATTGATTTGTGTGTAAACCTGATTGTGAGAGAAACTCAGAGGTCGCCAATCCCAGAGGGCAGTAGTACTAAGCACCATCCATGCTCATGTGAGTATTTTATCTAAAGGAAGCAAGGCACCTCTAAGAAAAAAAAGACAAAAACCAAAACTTGACAATGAAGTGGAAGAGAGACAGACAGACAGACTAGCCAAAGATGCAAAAAAGCCCCTCCTCGTTAAATGAAGAATTGTGGGAGTGATTCTGATGCGGCACGAGTATAGCATCCATGACTTCCAGTTTATTATCGACACCACCACCATTATTTTAAAGTTCTGAAAGTGATACGGGCAAGTGGATATTCTCAGGTCTAACTTGACACTGCAAAAGCCTATCCACGTTGGGCAAGTGATTGGAAAATGGGATTCGGAATCGTTGGAGGACATCAGCACTTCTGTTGTTGGTTAATTTCTCAAGTAAACTTAGCCGACATTCCCATTATTGCTAATTTTATGCTCTGAAGTGGGTGATGTCTTACTGTTTTTGCACTTTAGAAGGGTTCTCGTGGTTTAACTATTACTTTTAATTTAGGAATTAAAGGCATCCGTTAGCTTAAAATACTTAGATCTATCATAAGATCTTAAAATATATACCCCAGAAATTAAAAAGTACAATTAAGGAAGTATGAGTGGAACTATGGAAACGAGACAAAGATGACTCTTTATATAAATTCTAGAAAGGAAGACATTTAAAAATATTTTTCATTAATCAAATAACTCTTCAAATAAACATAACATGACAATGGTGAAACTCTCTCTAAAAGAGATGTAGATGATGCTTTAACAGATACGCTATCAACGTGGGAGGACAGGGAGGGTTTTCACTGAGAAGGCAATGGTTGAGTTCAAATATGAAGAAGTAATAAAAGTTAATCAGGCAGAGAGACAGACTGGAGGGTGGGACAGAGGGGTGGAGAGGAGAAACATTTCGGGCGGAAATGTTAGGCTCATAGTGGGATGGCACACGGCCAATGAAGAGAAATGAAGAAGGTCAGAGTGGAGTTTAGAGCACGAAGCAGCACGAGATGAGTCTGGACGTGGCCGCAGATGCCCGGCCGTGGCCGCAGATGCCCGGCCGTGCAGGGCCTTACAGGCCACCTGGATGATACTGGTCTTTATCCCAAGAGCAATCGAAGTCGCAAACTGTTGTAAATACAAAAGTAACATATGAGGTACGTATTTTGGCAGCAATGTGGAAAAAGGCTAGAAGGGTAGTGAATGTGAGGACCAGTTTATACGTTTAGACAACAATATCCTTTCCCTTTCTCAACAATCACTGATGACGACCACAAAGGGATGTTTGTGTGTTCAACAGAGGCATTTTCTCCTAAACTTCCACTTAGGTATGTTATTCAAAAAATAGAAAAGTCGGAGTTTTAAAAGGCAAAAGCAAGCAATATTCTTCCCCAAAACTCATCAATCATCACTGGATAAGGGTTTAATTCTATTTATTGACATGTCAGTTTCTTAATTGCCTGAGAGTTTGTAGGCTCATCTTTTAGAATTCTTTCTCTCCTTCCTTCCTTTCTCCTCTTTTTCTTTTCCTTCCCTCCCTCCCTTTCTCATATTTGAAAGAAGAGAAATTTGAGGCTCCTACTCTCAAGAATGATGACGGAGACTGACCACATATCTTATATTTAAAATTTTCAGGTCAGCTGCTGCTTCATCATTTTTTTTCTTTAAAAAAGTGCATTTGACATTAATAATGAGACAGAACCACAAATAAGTTCTGAAAAATGAAAAGAGACAGAATCAACATTAGCATTCCAGTGGACACTGATTAGAGTTCTCTAGAATGAGCAGAGGAGAGACTACCCTTGAACTGTATAACTTCATCAACATTAGTTTCTCAAATGTTTATAATTATTCAGTATTTTTAACTGTAGTTTCCATTAATAGTAATGGATTCTCCCTCAGCACATAATTACTCTGAAAGTACTTTTTTCTCTGATAGTGCTTTTACCTTCAGGAAAGATATACTTTAAATTAAAATTTTTGATAACACAAACTAAGAACCTAGCAACTCATAAATTCTCAGCAAATGCATCTGTGTCTATCAGGTCTGAATCAGTTGCCAGAGTTTCTGTGTTTATCACACAGCCCTTATCAACCGTGAACATCTTTTCTTTCTAGTGCTTTTATCGTAGCAAAGACAACACAAGTCTATCCTGGTCAAATGCTGTGGTAGACATGGTGGGTTGCCTGCCTACCTGCCACTTTCCTGTGGAAGAGCCTACGCTGGCATGTGTGTGTCAGATGACCCCACAACCACGGCTGACAGTTAGATATCCACCTTCCTCCTCCCTCCCCTGATACAGGCTAAGTCGCTGAGATTCTCTCCCTTGAAAATCAGAAATAAAAGACATAAATGACAATGCTCAGACTGTGTTAATCCTTACAATGTAAAGTCACATTTAAGTGCCTCTTCCACAAAATCTGTTCAGCCACATATTAGCAGATTAGAAGTCTCTGACTCTCGAAGAAAAACTGTTATTTTAAAAGATAAATTCTGTGAATACTATATTTGTTTTTTAAAAAAGTACCCATCTATATCTAAACATCCAAAACTTTACCTATAATCATAGATGAGCATGGGGATGATTTTGTGAGTTCAGTATCATAAAATTTATTTTTTACTGTGCTTTAGACATATTTATTATGTGTTCTTAAAGAAGATTTTAACCTAAACTGCCTTTGAGTCACTACAAGTATGTCATAAACTTATCATCCTAGAATTTTCTGTTGGTTGTGCTTTATGATTTGTTGTTAAAAAATTTAGATTAACTATTAAAATACTTGACAAAATACCATGGCAATAAGAGTCTTATTTGGAAGAGAAAGTTATAATGCAAAATGCATAACTATTCCAAGCCTTTTTTAGGCTATGCTTTGGAAAATAATACACAAAAGAAACAGAGTCTTAAACCACATTTTCCTTATTCTTAGCCTAGTTCAACCAAAAAGCCTTGGAAAACATTTACGAACACTCATCCAAAAACACTCTTGTCACTGAAACTTCTAGCACAGAAATGACTGGGTAAGCACAAACACTTACAGGACAGGGTGGTCAACCCTCTAAGTCCTCTCTCCCAACTGCACTATTGGCGAACAGCAGAGGAGAGTGAGACTGGCCTACTTATATATGAGCACATTCGCAATGAACGGCTTCTTTTGCTTCGAAAAGTTGGACAATGAAGACAATTTTGGATATTTAAGAATCTTTTTTCCTTGGTAATTATTTAAGTTTCACCTCTTACAATACAAATTCTCACGTGACACAAACGTAAGATAAAGTATTAACAGAACTTCTTTAGGCATTTTCTAGACATGTCAGAGGTGGTCAGATTATATTGTAAAGGTAGGTAGCGGAATGCTTTTCTCACTTGTTGATTCCTTCATATTCAGAATAAATTACTAGGTATTTGAAAAGTGAGCAAAAGTGAATAGATTTTGGTATATTTGTGTTAGACAGAATGAATAAAGATCGAAATAGAAGACAATTTTTGACATGCGGTGACTCGAAGTGACCACAGTCAACGATGCTCAGTCCTGGCCTAAATCGGGCAAGGAGAGCCACACGACAGAGAACACGTTGAGAGAAGCCCATTTTTCGTGCTCCAGTAACTGTGGTTTTCTTTCACTGTACTGCGGTGGAAGACAAGCATGTACAGGTTCTTCACACCAAGGCAGTGTGAGAGATGAACAGGCAACACTACATAGTTGAGGATTAGGACTGTCACTTCCTTGCTCCTCTTAAATTCCAGACAAAAATCTCAATTCTCTACATGTACCTTTTGCGATTTAAAAAGCCATTGCTTGTCAGCACACACACAGATATGAGGTAAACGATACCCACACTTAAAGAAGTTCTATTAATCTAATGATTGTATTGCCCAACAGCTAGACCCTATGTTATTTTATAAACTAAGAACTTTAAAAAGCTACAAAATACCCAGTTTAGAGACTATTAAGGAAATAGAAGCCAAAGTACTTACAGGGTAATTAGTCCCATGCAAATATACATCTTGATAGTGTAATTCCAACAATGTCCATGACAATTTTTGGTCTGATTTTGGCAAAAGTGGAAATGGCATCTGTAAATGCTAATCTCTTACCTTCCAGTGTTCAAAGAAATTAGGATTTTTGATGATATTCTTGGAAGAATTAAAAGATAAACATGATTACAGAAGTCAGCAGTAATTGCGATGAAATCTCTAGAATGGAGTAATAACAGCTATAAAAACATAACAGCATCCAGTTACTGCAGCAGCCACTTTGCCAGGTTTTAACAGGGCCGTTTACCACCCTGGCAGTAGACACGTGACTTTCCTGTGGCACGTGGTGACCCCACCACACCTCTCACCCTGTCTTGCAGCAAGCTACACACCCCCCAGAAGAACCATTGGCCCAGCGCTGCACCTGGCAGACATTACCAAAAAGGATGGGTGACTTCACTTTCCCTTCTTCACTGCCCTAGACCCACCCCACTCTAAGCGGCACAGAGCAATACTGATTCTTTCCTGTGAGTCTACAATTGTAGACGGCAGAACACCCAAGCCAGGTCTCCGCTTAATTCCAACTCTGGACCAAATGTTGTGGGGTGACACAGAAGCATTTCTACATTGGGTGACTCAGCCATGCTCACTGGGGAGCAACATTCAGGCTCGCTGCTCTGCTTTCTGCTGTTCTGTTTGTATACATCCTGCAGACAATAAAAGAGGGGGTCAATGAAAAAAATCGGACTATGAGGTTTAGAAAACCTTGGATCACTGCTTTCATATTCTGTGCGTTTTAAAATTTCAAATAATTTAATTATTTGAAAATACCAGGAGTGGCATGCACATAAACTAT